GACAACGCAACTAAGTTGCGAAAAGAGGCCAGGCGATTTCTAAAAAATATATCCTAATTCGGTGTCTTGCCGGCCATATACCTTAAGTTTTCAAGCCTGCTTGGTCAGAGCTCATGAGAGAATTAGATCCAAAAATACAACTATAGATAGACGTTGCGCCTATAGTATTGTGAAAAAGGGTATAAAATGCATCCGTATTTTCAATTTACTATAAGTAAGAATCAACCGTTCAAACGTAGGTGTTTTCTTGAATGTGGATAAGCTAGGAAGGATCAAACGGATCGTTTAAAAGTGGAACTTTTCATGGTAATGAAGATAGGTAGTGAAAATAAGACAGCTGAGTAAATAAAGGTTAATGAAAAAAAGTTGGACCATACATAAGTTGTATATAAGAAGAAAATGCGGGTTTCGCAGAATCTCTTGTGATAAGATTTATAGGAAGACTTTCATTTCGTATGGAAGTACATGCTGAAAAGATTCGTAGGTCAATATCACCAAAAGACGTCGGCTGATTCGCGTTGTACTGCAGCCGTTTTGCATAAATACAACGCGAATCAGCGTCTTTTGGTGAGATTGACCTAAGAATCTCATGTACTTTCCTACGAAATGAAAGTCTTCACATTAATGAAAAAAGATATAAAATTTGAAGTAATGAAGCCTATTAACTGCAGAGCTAGTTCTTATAAACAGATGGATATAAATATGAAGATATACTTGATAAAATTGGAATGAAATAGCTTGATGGCCTGATCGGTGTTGGAAATAGGTTACGCAAAAATAGGAATAAATAATAGGAAGTAGAAATTGCGGATAACGTCAATAATGCAAAACATAGAAATTCACGCACCAAAGGCCTGATCGTATGACCAGTTGCGACAAAATTGTTCGACTTTTTTGAGACTCCAGGTTGGGTAGGACTCAGACACTGTGCTGAAATATAAATGTCGGAATTCCTGCCAGAATCTTTGATCGGAAAAGATGCTGAATTCCAAGTAGGGGAGGCCGAAGTGAGTTGAGAAGAGGAGATAAGAGCAGCGACCATTGGAGCGATAGCTTGTCCAGAATCTCCATTCGTACAAGTGGAAGAGATAGAGGTGGGGGTGGATGATGATGGCGGTCGTTTAGGGTCCCAAGGCAAACGTGAACGGCCCTTAGGCCGACTGGCACTAGGCTTACGACGGCCTGTTGGAATATGAGGTCAATGGAAGAAATGATTGGAATTGGTATGTAGAAAAAGTAGCAAAAGAAATTATGACTAGATCTATTATGGAAGTGACATAAGCTTAGCATAGAAATTAAAGTAGACAGAAAACATAGCATAATCTTTACAAAATCCCAGAGTACAAATATAAAACTGAAATTTAAGCAAAGAAAATTATTTTAATCGAACGCATGAAGACCAATATGGTGTAGCTTTTAGTAAAGACACAGTTTCATATCATTGTATATAAGTTGGTTGAACTAGCTTTAGCAATTTGGTCGTATTGTCAGGGAGACCTATAGGAGCACACTCTGTCCAGAGTCCATAATATGCACGATACTATACAGAGTCGGAAGGTTCACTTGGTACACTCGCAGACGTTTTGCCGGCATCGTCAATGAGCCTTGTCAGGTTTAGAAGCACGTTATAGCACGTCAGAGACGAATAAAGCCAATCTTTTGACCAATTGTCTGCAAACCAGTTGTGGTATCTCTCCTTTCCTAAAGAATTCATCCGTGCTGTATCCTCGTAACACCCCTTCACAATTTTTTACTGGTCTTTCGTTTAAAAGTAGGCTTTCGAGTCCACAAGTAAATCATATATATATATATATGAGATGTATTCATTCTAAATCATGTAGATTGACAGGGGGACTGGTAGTTGAAGTTTCTCACAATTATATGACTTTTCAAATTAATTTCACAGTCTTGCTTTCCCAAAAGTTATTCTCATTCAGAGTATACTACAGTTTTGACCTTTCCTGTCTTATCAACACCCATAGCCGGAATATCACCATGACTATAATCTCGACACTCTAACCATTACGCCACATTATCTGGAATCCCCTTAGGCCCCTCTCTGGTGTGCTGACCCCAAAAGTGATAGTTCTAATTGATTTGAGTAGGTTCACAATAGACGTCTCATCTTGGTTTCCGATTGCTCCTCTTTAGTCTCATAGCGATTTCTTATCCTCAAATTGAAAATATTGCCTTGAACCAATCATCTTCTTTCTACATATTTTGCTGTTTCCTGATTTGCTCCGAGTTTGCTTAAGCAATATGCAACGTTTTAGCTAACTCTGTTTTCATTTATCCTGTTCATCATATTTCAATGGCCACTCGGATCTTGTATTTTGTTCTATTTCTACCATATTCAGCCAGGCTTTCAGTCTTGTCAGTTTAAGGTTTCGGTAATTATAGATCTTTCCGTATCAATGGTTGTGCAAAATCTTTTGTGATCATTGATTCTTAGACTGCTTTTTCTTCCTACTTCACCAACATACTTCTACTCACAGGTACCGCAAGGTTGTGCATTCGATTCTACTTCTCTCCAAGTATATCTACCTACTCCCTATTCTCATATTGCACTAACAACTTCCTGACTCGTTTATATTCGAA